CCCGCCCCCTCCTCCCCGGGCCACCCCCCCCCACCCATCCTTTTCCTCTTCCTCTCGCCCCCCTCTACCTCCTTTCGTCTCCCTCTCCAGGAGAAGGGGCTCCGTCTCTGCCGCAAATTACCGACACAAAACGAAGGTGGTGGCGGCACTGCCGGTCCAGGGCCCCCGTCAGCATTAATGAGCCAATGAAGCTTTATTTGGTCCGCGTGCATGCGCTAAATTCTTTCTTGTGTGACAGCTGACTGGGAAATGTGACTGTTAACCTTATAAAAGATTCAGTGGGTTCTCATTATTTTCTGTCAACTCCACTACCTGATGGCGTTAAGGTGCACTATTTGCATCCCTGACTGGTTCAGGTTTACATCACCACATCCGCACTGAACACTCCCCCCACCCCCACATACACACACTCACTCTTATTTGTTTGTTTGTTGAGAGAAGTCATCTTTTACACACACGCACCCTCAAAAAGACACGCGTTTCTTGATGTTCCTAAACCGTAGAAATGCCAAAGTTTATTCAAAGACGACAAAGCATATTACAAAGCCTATCTGGGCAGTGTTTTAAGAGGAACAAGGGAAGGAAAAACAGCAGCGCATCTCACTTGCTTCTCCACAAAAAGAAGCAAGCTTCGAGAGGCCCAGCAGGCCTTATTAGAAGAGCTTACGGCCACGTTTCCACTAACTGCGAAAGACAAAACAAAGTCCTGATGTACGATCAAAACTGACAGTCCAGTGGATGGAGGAAATCCACCTGGTGCTCAAGTTTTTAATTTGCTTCCAATCTCATAAATAAGAACAATGGTTGTTCATACTTTGATAAGAGAACTGTTATTCTAGCCAGAAGAGACACAATCCCAGCTAAAGTGAAACGAGTGCCAAAGATATTGTTGGGAATAAAGGAGTGGCTATAACACTGTCTACTGTCTTACTTTTTTCCTTTTTTTTTTGCGCAGTGTAGCAAATCTGAAGAATTACGAAACATTTAAGTCTTTATTAATATAAAAGCATTTGTTGGCTGTGACTTTAGCTTGATTTGTTGTTTCCGTGCATTTGTTATTCAGGCAAATATTTGAAACGCTGATGTTTTATATTCCATCCATCCATCCATTTTCTGAACCGCTTTATCCTCACAAGGGTCGCGGGGTATGCTGGAGCCTATCCCAGCTGTCTTCGGGGAGTAGGCGGGGGACACCCTGAACCGATTGCCAGCCAATCGCATGGCACACGCGTTTTATATTTCTAACGTAATCAATTCAATCTCATTATCGTGTTTTTACAACTCCACGATGTTCAAAAGAAAAAAAAAGGAAAAAGTTAAGTCAACTCAAAATTTGAAGGCAACAATGATTAACATTTGAAGTATTCAACAAAACATTCAAAAAATATTTCACCAAAAAGAAGTAAGAGTTTACAAAACTAATTGGCCCTTGATGTTCCTCAACTTATCAAATTATCTTGAAGCAAGCAAGCTTGCTTTGTTTTGCTGGCTATTTCCATCTGTGTCAATCATTTGTTTTTGAAAGTTGTTTCAACTTAAATGACTGTTTGAGCCTCCTCCAAAAATCAATGTACGGGCAAGAAGCCCAAAAAGGGCTGCGGTGACGACAAGCATTAAACCACGGCTTCTTTTCATGAGAAAGCCACACAGCCTGCAAGGCAGGCAGGGTGTGTGCTGCCTGATATCAGCCTGGTCCCCGCCTCACTTGTGACAGCTTGCAACCGTGATGGGACCCCATGGGAGCCAGGAGCGGATTCACTAACCTGCCGGTGTCTGGGACCGACGCGCGCTTCCAATCTGGTGGTCACATGGTGTGTGTGTGTGTGTGTGTGTGTGTGTGTGTGTGTGTGTGTGTGTGTGTGTGTGTTCAATTATTAGGGGCTGTTGAGGCCGTCGAGGGGCAAACTGTTGTGCACCGTGTAGTTAAAAGTGCGCACAATGGTTTTGCATGCCTGTTAAGGCGAAAGGAGCGCACAATGGCAACTGGCTTGCCTTGAAGTTTGGCTTCATGCTGGTGCAGATTGTTGCCAATTAGCAGGGACTATTAGAAGGGTTATTGTGCTTTAAATGCTGACAGCAAGACGGCGAGGCCTTGGTGGTTATTTTAAAAAAATAAAACTTTTTTTTTTTTTTGAGTGCCAGTATTTTTAATACAACGAATAAAAACATGAGACCACGGTGTTTATTCAACATAATTCCAAATGCAAGATTGAATTATTTAATAATGTATCGAGACAAGAAGGCATCGAGAAAACAATCCCCACTCAGCATGAATAAATAACACAAACGAATTTATTTCTGACTTCTTGGGAAGCTTCGCTTATTTTTCTTTATTTCTTTATTGTATATCTGATGTTTCGCCATCAACATATACCGTAGTTTGAAATGATGATAAAAATTGGGGGGGGGGGGGGGAAGCCGATGCGCGGAGGAAGCAAAAAGCCCGCATCCAAAAGCGGTTGCTCGTAATAACCCCATTAGAAGCCTCATCAATGATGTAATGAAAGCAAACAGTGTGAAAATTGCCCGTAAACACTCGGATCCGAGTCTCCTGATGAATCCACTGTCTCTTTTATCAAAGTGAGGATGAGCCCGGTAGGGGACGTCAGAAGGAGGGGCTGCTGGGGGCGTGCGGGGGTGGGGTGGGGGTGTGGGGGGGTCCAGCGTCAGCCAATCAAGGCGTGTCACAGGGGACTCACGTGGAGCAGACGTTCTTAAAACCTATCGCTGGCGACTTTTCCTCAACTTCCATTTTTCACCACTTCCTCCCTTCTCGCTTTAGTTGGGCCTATTCAAGCCACTTTGCTGCAATTCGGCGCATCCGCACGCGTCCGCTGTCCACTCCACCTGCTCCGTGCGTTCAGCCGGCTCAAGAATGAGACGAGTTGACCCGCTGTTGCATCTGGTGCCTGTCCATGGTGCTGAACCGGCTTCGTGAGTCTTTTTTTTTATTTTCTTCCTCCGGCTCCAGGCGTGAAATCGTCCGAGTTGTGCGTGATCCTAGAAATCCAACTGGACGCCCGAACTGGATGGACGACGCCAGGGACTTCTTAGGATATCATATGGTTATATGATTATTTGATTTTCTCATGCAAGGACGTTTGTCGGATCGCAGCGAAGAAATTTAAACTTGGCCCAAACACCAAATGGTAGTTTGAGGAGCACCGCCCCACGGGTCAAGACGATGGAGGCGTCCGGAAACGGCTCCAGTTTCGGCATCGACTCGCTGCTCTCCCACAGGCCCGGAAGCCCGCTGTCCAAAGGGGACGGCCTGGCGGGGGAGTGCCGCTCGCCTCTGGAGTTTAGCCCGAGATCCGACGTGGAGAGCGGCTGCTCGTCGCCGCCCTCACCCAGGCGGGAGTGCGCCGACGAGCTGGCCCCGAGGTCCGGACACGGCGTCGGCCTGCCGCCTCACCTGCAGCACGGCCCCGGGATCTCGGCGGGCCCCCAGCAGAGGACCATGACCTCGTCCTTCCTCATCAGAGACATTCTGGCGGACTGTAAGCCGCTGGCCGCCTGCGCGCCTTACTCCAGTAACGGACAACCCACGCAGGAGGCCGGCAGACTGGCCGCCAAGATTGCGGACGACTTCATGGAGAAAATCCACAGCAATTCGTCGTCGGACAGCGAATATAAAGGTGAGAACGCACACGCGTGCTGAATGCTGAAATTGTTGCTGTTTGTCAAGCGCAGACAAAATAAAATCACCACTCGGCTGCTTCATCGCTCCATGCGTTTCGTTTGTTTACAGTTTCTGTCTGTATTCTTAATGAAAAAACAAGAAATTCGTCAAAATCGAGTTTCTTTTTTTTTTTATTTATTTTTTTTAACTTGGACATAAAATGAAACACCACAATTGGACAGGCTATTATAAAAAACGGCATATTGCAAAGACGGATGAGCAGTTAATTAAACAAGCTGAAACGAAATATATTTTCGGGGACTATATTACAAATGTAATTTTTGCTCAAATTTGAACATGTTCAGGATGTCAAAGATGATCATCAATTTGACACATGATCAATCGTTTACTTCATGCAAGGGGCGTGGCTGCGGTGACATTTTAATTGAAAATACTGCGTTTCACAAATTAATACAAAAAGGAATAACAGAAGAGTTGCACCTTTTCGAAACGGTTTTTTTGTCAAAGCGACAGGCTCCTGTTTTTTTAGTCATAAAAAAACTCGCGTTTTTTTGGGTATGCGGAAACAAAAAAAATAACAAATTACACTGGGATTTATGATCACTCTTATTTATAGTACTGTAATTCTTCTGTGTCATTTTTCACCATGTTTATAGAATCAGCTGGGCAAAATGGGGGGCCGGGGGGGGGTCTTGATTGGAATATCCAGATAAAATCACGAAAGCTCGATCTGATTCCAATCATCATGTCAGCCGTAACAGACATGTCACCTACACGCACTGCACTTCATTGGAACGACGCGTGGAATCATGTCCACTGCTCTGCAGGCTACACTGCAAGCGCGGCGGGCCCCCAGCAGAGGACCATGACCTCGTCCTTCCTCATCAGAGACATTCTGGCGGACTGTAAGCCGCTGGCCGCCTGCGCGCCTTACTCCAGTAACGGACAACCCACGCAGGAGGCCGGCAGACTGGCCGCCAAGATTGCGGACGACTTCATGGAGAAAATCCACAGCAATTCGTCGTCGGACAGCGAATATAAAGGTGAGAACGCACACGCGTGCTGAATGCTGAAATTGTTGCTGTTTGTCAAGCGCAGACAAAATAAAATCACCACTCGGCTGCTTCATCGCTCCATGCGTTTCGTTTGTTTACAGTTTCTGTCTGTATTCTTAATGAAAAAACAAGAAATTCGTCAAAATCGAGTTTCTTTTTTTTTTTATTTATTTTTTTTAACTTGGACATAAAATGAAACACCACAATTGGACAGGCTATTATAAAAAACGGCATATTGCAAAGACGGATGAGCAGTTAATTAAACAAGCTGAAACGAAATATATTTTCGGGGACTATATTACAAATGTAATTTTTGCTCAAATTTGAACATGTTCAGGATGTCAAAGATGATCATCAATTTGACACATGATCAATCGTTTACTTCATGCAAGGGGCGTGGCTGCGGTGACATTTTAATTGAAAATACTGCGTTTCACAAATTAATACAAAAAGGAATAACAGAAGAGTTGCACCTTTTCGAAACGGTTTTTTTGTCAAAGCGACAGGCTCCTGTTTTTTTAGTCATAAAAAAACTCGCGTTTTTTTGGGTATGCGGAAACAAAAAAAATAACAAATTACACTGGGATTTATGATCACTCTTATTTATAGTACTGTAATTCTTCTGTGTCATTTTTCACCATGTTTATAGAATCAGCTGGGCAAAATGGGGGGCCGGGGGGGGGTCTTGATTGGAATATCCAGATAAAATCACGAAAGCTCGATCTGATTCCAATCATCATGTCAGCCGTAACAGACATGTCACCTACACGCACTGCACTTCATTGGAACGACGCGTGGAATCATGTCCACTGCTCTGCAGGCTACACTGCAATTAGAATCTCACACATACACACACACACACACACACACACACACACACACACACACACACACGCACGCACGCACGCACGCACGCACGCACGCACGCACGCATGTAAAAAGATACATCGGAAAATGACATTCCGAAGTGGGGGCATTTCAGGTTAACAAAAGTAATGCGTCGATATGAGCAAGTCATTCCGAGAATGATGCGGGTCGCATTCTGGAATTGTGGCCGTCATCTTGAGTGGCGATCACGTCTAAAATGTATTTGTGTGCCGATTGATGGCAGAAGCCCTCGCCACGCGAGCTTTTGCTTCCCCACCATGAAGCTTATTCCTCCTGCAGTATATCAGGGAAATTTGATACAATTTGTCCGCGCCACTAATCACATTTGTTGGCATCAAGGCCGAGCGGCTCTTGATTCCCACTCATTTCCACGCTCGTGTGAAGTTGACGCGGACCCGCCCGTCCTTTCCCTGGTGACTCAATTAGTCGGATTATTGTGTTCCTGCTTGCTTTTCACCACCCAAAAAAGACGAGGGCCTTTTTTTTTGTCTCTTTCTTTTTGTGTGTTAAAATCAAAGTGCTCGCCTTGACATGACTCCACGCAGGAGGGGGGAGCTGATGCCCCCCCCCCCCCCTAAGAAAAAAAACATTGAAGGCTGCATGCCTTTCGGAAGGGCATTTCATTCCATGTTCCGAAGTTAATATACATTTGCTCAAGGACTACCACAAAATAAAAATGCTGGTCTCCAGAAATCGGTCACACGCTAGGTTGAGTATTAATGAAGTTTACCAACATTAAAAATCAAAACTACAGCGAGATGTCATTTTGATTTGATCCTCCCACACATAAGAATGTTCCATTTAAAATATATGACGCGCGCAGAATTGACACGCAAACGCAGTTAACTGGAGGACCGAACAGCATATGTGCAAGATAAATAATTTGCTCACCCCAAAACTGCAATTCAACGTTAATGTCTAAGGAGTACAGAACCGCTGCAATGCATGTGTGGGCTGAAATATCAAAATATGAATAGACAAGGAAAAATCCAGTTGCAATGATGATGACAATAGAGTTCTCAAATTTCATGCGTATCCAAATATTTTCTAATAATAAAAAAAAAAACACTTTTCAGTCCAATAAAACAATCAACATTTTAGATTTTGATGCATCTTCCGTGTTTGTGTGCCGTTGGCCACCAGTGAAAGAGGAGGGGGACAGGGAGATCTCCAGCAGCAGAGACAGCCCCCAAGTCCGGCTCAAGAAACCCCGAAAAGCCCGCACGGCCTTCACCGACCACCAACTGGCGCAACTGGAGCGCAGCTTTGAGCGCCAAAAGTATCTGAGCGTGCAGGACCGGATGGAACTGGCCGCCTCCCTCAACCTTACCGACACGCAAGTCAAGACCTGGTACCAGAACCGAAGGTAGGAGCGGCTCATTTGGCTGGACAAAAAATACACCATAGTGTTAAAAAAGAAAAATGAAAACGTTGCTTGGACTCAAAACGTTACGTTGGGTATTTCGATTAAATTTTATTTCAAGTTTTGCTGTTCACAGCAAAGAATTGGGGTTTACAGAACATTTGCTCCTTTTATTGAACCCCAATTTAAAGCCCAACTTGCTTGCTTTAGCTAAGCATGTCCGTCATGAATATTTCCAAGTTGTTCAAAACTAAATGACTGTTTTAGGTCTCCGTGCTTGTTAATTTCCAGAAAACGAGTGGGGCGTGACACTTGATATGATTTGATGTTTTCATAAATGCGAAAATAGCTTTTCCGCCATATGCGCTAGTTTGAGCATCAATTTGTCCGCGCAGCTTCGACTCCGGGGCATCTAAATGTCATCAATAAATACAAAAACAACATTTTGACCTCTGAATAATGCATGATTTGCATGTGTGTGTATCAATAATTCAAAGAAACCGCTATATCTCCTCAATTATCTGCAATATGAATTATTCACCTGCGCCGAGTGCACGCCGACGTCGTTGGGTGTGAATGCACGAGGCAGTTTGACGCGTTTAACCACAGGGAAAGAAAGAAAGGAAGAAAGTATAGTAGCCCCGCCTTTGAATTGACCAGTTTGGCGTTTTTGAATGAAGAGAAGTGCAAGAGCAGCGTACAACTTTTCTCGTGTTTGTTGTCGTAGGACCAAATGGAAGCGTCAGACGGCGGTGGGACTGGAACTGTTGGCGGAGGCGGGGAACTACTCAGCCCTGCAAAGGATGTTCCCGTCACCCTACTTCTACCCACAGAGCCTAGTGTCCAACCTGGACCCGGGGGCGGCGCTCTACCTGTACAGGGGCCCCTCGGCGCCGCCGCCAAGCCTGCAGAGGCCCCTGATGCCCCGCATCTTGCTGCACGGCCTGCAGGGTGGCAGCGAGCCGCCGCCGCCGCCACCCCCGCCGCCGCCGCCTCTGCCCCCAATGTCGGCTGTGCTCTCCCGGCCGACCCAGCAGCGGTGAGCCGGAGTTGCGGACCGAAAGCAAATTAACACACGCACGCGAATACAAAGTCGAAAGAAGAGCGAACTCGTTCGGAGCTTTGGCGCCGTGAATCGGAGACGTGGAGTGGAAGGAACTTTGCACCCGGTGGTGGAAGCATCTCTTCTATTTGGGGGGACTAATTTAAGGCTTATTTATATTTCGGTGTAAATTAAAGGCTCTAACTTATGTATTTATTGGATTTTTTTCTGTATTTTTAAACTATGTTCGCAACGTTTTACATGCTGATTCTTTCGTTCTACTAAATGCCTCCCTCGCCTCTGTTGTTGTTGCTGTTGATGCTTTTTAAAAATCATAATTTGGTTCTTATCATTGCGACGACCCGGACGGAGTGCATCCATCTATCATTATAATTTTAATATTTTCGTTCTTGGAAATTATTCATTTGACTCGATCTGTAAAAAAAAATGTAAATAAGAATATTTTACATGGCATTGGACAGAGCCTTTTTTTCCTTTTTCTTCAATCGGTACAGCGTGTCCGAATATAATTTGCAGGTGGTAAATTCGGCATAAATCAATATTTCGAGATGCTTTCTTTTATAGGTGGGATTTTAGCTGAAAGTCAAATGCCAATTAATTTATTTACAATTTTTGCCTATGACACGCTTTCCTCGTATTATTATTTTTATTTATTATTATTATTATTATAATTGTTATTATTTTTAAATTAGCACTTCCAACAACTGAGGGCCCCCAAAGGATGGGAGCCGGGTGCACTGCTAGTACAAGCAGCCTGTTGATTGCTTGAGCTGTATTTCAACAGACATTGTGATTTGTTTTTTTCATTTTTATTTTTTTAATATTAGTTCATATGAAGCCGTGCTAACTTAACTGGTCTCCTCTCTCCTGGTGCAAAAAAAAAAACAAAAATCAAAAACAAAAACAAAAAAAGTAACATTGCAGATGCAAGCTTGTGGAGTGGTTCTCGTTTCTCTTCCGTTCCTTGAGTTCCTTCTTGGTGAAATTTACAGCAAGCGGTATATAAGATGGGCCATTTGATGTAAGAAAAAACAAATAATTTTTATAAATGTGGAAATAAAAGTCTTTGATTTAATCGTGTGATTACACTTATTTAGCGGGACTATTTTCTAAACTGCGTGTCCACATGCGGAACTCTTAAGTGCAACAAAGTCAGTCAAACACATTCATAAAAAGATTTCCTCAACTCCATAAAATGAGAACAATAATGCAACAAAGCATGAACATTTCCTCTGCGTGTTAATCAGAATTATATTCAATTGTTTAGGTCTCATTAGTTTGCAGCTATGGTTACATACAAGGCAATATAAAAAATCATTTCAACACACTGGGACACGTTTCAGGAATTAAAAAGGCCAACTACCAAGAACGTCCGAAATATAAATACACACGCTTTGAAATTGAGGAGGCTCCAGCCTTCCGATCCATTTTTTTTAAAATCAAGCGGGACTCACGTCAGCGTGGACGAGCAAAAGCGCAGGTCCAATTAAACTTCCGTTCAAAATAGACTTGTGGGAGAGAAATGGAGTCAAAAACGGCCCTTTGCCCATCACCTCTTTCGCGTCTGCCTGAGTGCGTTCAAGAAGGTGGCGAAGGGGTCGGCTCTGCTTTCACATCACCTTTCCTCACTGCAGACGGCCACATTCAACAGACCAATATAAAAGCATTCATTGGGTTTTCTTTTTCTCTCCCCGAATAAATGCTTGCATATGTCAATTTGTAATATGGGAGTTATACGTTTTAAAGATTTGAATAAAAAATGACTTATTTTACGACACCTACAATATCTGCACGTTGAAATAAAACGAACATGTTTTTTTAAGTTCCTCTGATTCTGTTTTTTTTTTTTTTAAAGATAAATAGCGAAATCTGAAAGCCTGTTAATTTGTCTCTGGTGTCTTAATTGTCTGTATATCAGGACGCCTGCACAGAATATACACTGTTAAAAAAATAAGTTGGGTGAAATCAAAAATTCAAGGAAACCAAATTCGAGGTTGGGTAATTCCACAAAATATCTGACGTTTTGCTGTGGTGAAAATTCCCGTATTTTCAGCCAAGAAATACGAGTTTCCGGAAGTCATTCTCCCTTGTATTGCTCCCCAACATCAAGCTATAACTCAGCAAAGTGTTTGTCAGCTTTCTTGGTTGCACGAACTAACATTGTTTCCATGAACGTCATTAATTTATATTGTTAAGTTGTTCCAACTGAAATTACTGCTTTAGCACCCCCAGGAAAAAAAACAAAAAAAAAAAACTTTTTTCACAGTGCAGGGACGTGCCCGGTTCATCCATCCCATCTTCCTTGGCTATCTGCACTTGCCTAAATTAACAGCAGCACTGCACGCACCACCATCAACAATGCACACCAGCTGAAACACTGTCATGTGCGCAATTGTTTAAGTGTCCTAAATGATCCCATTTGGAAATTGATTGTTTCCATCCTCCCCTTGGTGGAGGCTGTTGGATGCTAGCTGCTGCTCCAAGCCCGGCCCAACAGCTGCTGGGCGGCCTTGGAGCTGACTGCAGGCCGGGGATCGGCGTGCAGGGGACAGCTGGTCAGCGCTACCGCGACCCCCCTCCGCCTTCCCCCACCATCATCCTTGTTCTTCCTCCAGCCTGATCCTGCGCGCGCGCGCACACACACACACACACACACACACACACACACACACACACACACACACACACACACACACACACACACACACACGCATATAAGCCCGCAAAGTATCCCCGACTTCTTTTGGAGGTCAAATCAGTTCAGATGCTGACGGGTGAGCCGATGTTACCGATGAGAACAAAAGACTTGATAGGTTTTAATTGAAAGTCGATAATGGCTTCGAGAGGGGCAGCCCCCCCGCTGTCGTGCGCGCATGGCACCTGTTCTGCGGGGGCTCTCGCAGGCACTTAGCGGTCGTCCGCGGACTGGCCACCGTGAAATATCAGACTGACGGCCTGATAACTGGCGCGTTTATGAAGCGGAAAATTGCATTAAAAATACAGTGACGGCTTGGCCTGCGTGAACGGGAGGGGCGGGTCGCAATGAAACACCTCCCAACTTGCCAAAAGATCATTAAAGTCCCATCAGAGCGATCCGTGTCTGATTCACATAATGACCAATAAAAGGTCATTCTTGAAAATCTACAGCAAGGAGGGGAAAAAAAGCCCCGCGTGTCTTGTTGGGTGACTTTATTTTTTATTTTTTCTTCTTTTCTTTGCATGTGAAAGGCTGGTACTAAATCCCTCAGCTCTTCCCACGGATTGTCCTCGGCTCAGGGTTAATGAAGTGCGGATCGGGGGTTCGTTGAGCTCCCGACATGTGGCGGCTTGGGGGTGGGAGGGTGGGGGGCGGTGGACAAGAATGAAAGAGCCCAAGGATCAGCGACTTTTCTGAATCCCGAGGATTCCTAATCACAATGATAAAAAACACTGAAAAAAAGCCGTTCAATAAAATACAATCTGGTGTTAAAATGTTACCATAGTGGCCCAATAAGACAAACCCAATGTACATCGTTTAGGAACACAAAGAAAAACTTTTTATTCAAATTATCAATAATCAATTTCCACACATTTGTGTTGAGAATAATAAAAAGGCTGTTAAAGCACGATGCCATTTACAATGCCATAATTTAAGAATATGAGTTCAATGTGATCATGTTCAAGTTACACATGACAGTGCCACTGAAAATTGAGCAGCTGTTCGCGATCAATTAGGATTTTTTTAAAATTTCATTGCAAATGTCCCCATTGTTGGACTACTAAAAGTTTTCTGATTGGATTGTGTATGAGTACCTAATTTATTGGCCAGTATATTTGAATGCACCTTTTTTAATGTCCTGCAGATGAAATCCGTGGAGCCTTTTGCCTGTTTATAACATGCCCTTGACCTTTGAAAATAAGGTGATGCCATGCACAATTTCAAAAGTACACCTCGATTTGTAATTTTTAAAAGTAGGATTACCAGTCAGCAATTTTCACAAATCAAATCCCGATAACCATATTCCTTGGTGACCCTCTGAACGGAGCCACTGCTGACACCAAAACAAAAGACTCCAGTATAAGTTCTTTAAGATGAAAATGAAACAAATATCTAATGTGCTTCCACATAGACTGAAACATAATGGTTCAATTTTGGCATCATCATGCATTTTTCCCCAATAAATGTATTTGAAAGCTCTTCAACACGATTCAGAAGATTGAAAACAAGAAGAGAAGCTCAGTGGTAGACACGGCGAGCTTCAAGAAGATGAAGGAGATGATGAAGCAGAAGCAAGTGGAAATGATGGCAGAGCCAGAGAGGCCCATCCTTGCCTGGAGGTACATCGGCCTGTGAGGAGCTCGGTGAGACTTGCAGACTGCAGGCGAGGTAACCCCACTAATCATTGGGCCAATATGACGGGCTGCAACTACAACTTGGGTCAGGGGCGCGGGGATTGACATCCCAATCTGGGCAAATAATGAAAGCTTTCCTCTCGGCTCAGACGGGGGCTTGCGGATGGAACGGGGAGGCGGGAGAGGAGTAATGGAGGAGGACCTGCTGCTTCACAGACCTGAAATCACTCGTTTTTCAGATGGACTAGAATCGTAGCGATGGCGACTCGGAGCGTCATTTTCATAAATGGAAGACCAAAAGACAGCCACCATAGAGGATTCAAAGTATTTGATTTACAAGTGACGATATATTGCTTGAAGCAAAAAGCCGTCCAAGCCTAAATCTAAAAGCCAAACAACAGCCTAGCAGGGTATTGGTGCGACAATTCAATATGCATCCTGATATATGTGAGGTGCGATACGATTTATTTTAAAGAGGAATGATTCGATTTGGTTCGTTTCAGTGGGATTCGCATCGATACAGCTAAGCTGGAGACGGTATGATGCAATGAGTTTCTTGTACAATCAGAATGAACTTGTCAATATTGAAAATGTGGCACACCCTTCAAAGATGTATTTT